CCAGGTTGCAAATACCAGCATATGGATATGTTTTGCTTTGGCCCACACAGTGCTTTGAAAAATTTCACAGTAGTTTATGTATGGAAAAATAAAACTATTTTATATAAACATCTAGATTTCCAACTTGGTTGGAAAAATCCTAAAATCCTGCAATACTGGCCCTGCATTTCTGTGTCAGGTGAATGAATTGCTGCCCATTTGGAGTAGGGCATGTGGGCTTCAGTGGACCAAAATTCCCACTGCCATTGCTTGGTCATTTGTATTATTGGCCTGGCCTGTGTAAGCATCCAAGTTTGAAGTTCTTTATCTTGACTAACATTTTTAGGTTATCAGTGAAGACAGTAAGCCTCAAAGAGATGGAATGACTTGACAGCTGTGCTATCTAATACGGTGGCCACTAGGGTCATGTGCAGAAAGTAGCACTAGAAATCCAGCTAGTGTGACTGAGGAGCTGAATTTTAATTTCTATTTAATTAATATAAATATAAAATTTAAAACTATAGCAATATGAACTATTTTTCTGATAAACACAACTTTATTGTTTTGGTGGGACTCTATTTCAGTTTAATTGTGTTGTATCTTATAAGATAGTGTTGATATATTACAGTGCACATTTATACTTTTAAAAAATGGGGCTCCCAGATATTTAAGAGTTACTGACATTTCAGAGTGTATTTCTGTTGGACAGCACTGACCTGACAATTCTCCCAGCTTGTTAATGGCAGGTCTGGAATTTGTCAGCAGATCTCTGTAGTTCTGATCATATTTTTTTCCTTCAGTTTAAAAATGTTACCCAACTGTTCTAATTCTTGAAGCTTTTTTGTTGTTATATATTTCCATAGGAATTTGTTTTTCCTTATTTTTACATAGCACATGATAGAAAAGAGATTTTATGTAAAGGAAAATTTAGCATCATCTATTATCAAGAATAATATAAAGATAATTTTAGAGATTAATTTTAAACTTAATATTTGTGACATAAAGACACTTTTTTTACTTTAAGTGACTGACAATTTTCTCTCAATTATTTATATAAGAAAACAATTTTCAGCATATTCAAAATGACATTGTGTTTGATTTTGAAACAGATATATATTAAAATGTATAAAATTAATGATATAGCTTTAAAACTAGACAGAAATTACTTTTAGATTTAATATATTGAGTTCTTATATTTTATACAGAAGAAAATTTTTCCTTTTTTAAATTTTGTATTTTTATTTATCTAAATGATAAAAAGATTAAAACATTTAAAGTATTGGGCATCTGTATAGCCCAACCAAATATAACAATTTAGATAAAATTTTTTTTGACATTTTACTTATTCAACTTTGAATTGTAACTTACATACCTAAAAGTGCACACATTATAAGCAAACAGCTTGATAAGACTTCACAAATGCAACCGTTTAACCAGCAATCATATCAAAACACATTGGAAGACCAGGCCACCAGAAGCCTCTTGCACTCATTCAAAAATTGTCCTCCAGCCTCAAAGAATAAGCACTGTGGATCAGTGTCACCTGTTTTTGTACTTTAGGTAAATAAACAATATATACTCTTGTGTCTGGTTTCTCGTGCTTAATATTGTTTGTGAGACCCATCCAAAACGTGGAGTTATAGATTGCCCATTTCTATTATTATGTTAATACCGTTGTGTAAGCCTATCAAAACTTACCCAGTTTACTGCTGATGGACATTTAGATATTGGTTGCTGCCACTATAAATGCTCTAGTTCTTTTAACTTTTTTTTTTTTAAAGGGACTAGCAGCTATTTGATGTGCTTGATGACTATTTTAAGATAATTCCACATAAGGACTATTTTGAGTGCATTTATAAAATTTATTATCGCTCCTCTCCTAGTGTTTTTTAATATCCTCGTGCATTCCAACTATAAGTCCTGATCTATTATCAGTACAAATTTTTAAATATGACCAAAAGGAAAAACAATTAAAACTTAAATGTCCAAAACACAGGCATCTGTAGCATTGTTAAGCCAAGGGATAAGCTCCCTAAAGGACTGCTTAGACATATAAGCTGACTTATCTGTTCTTTGTTAACCGTCATTCATGCTTACTGGGTACATGCTTTCTCTGTTTCTGTATTCTAAAGGGATAATTTTTTAAATGATTATTTATTTATAATAACACAGTACAACAGACCCACCAATTGCCTTTTGTTAAATCGGTTTCCCTAAGTAAGTTCACAAAACCCTGGTTTAGAAATGCTAACTCTCACTGGAAAAATTCAGAATATAACTGAGCAGTTGAGAGGAATATTACAGAGTTAACACAAATATCTAGTGAGTCATTAGACTAGCTGTAAAATTGCTTCTAAGTTAAAATTTTATGATTTTTAAATTCTGATGTGCTAGCTGAAGTGAACAGTGATGAGAATAAGAATTACTTGTAGTGACTCATATTCAGCAATTTATTACATACATTGTTTTCTCAGTAGTCTTGCTTTAATATATATGAATGGCAAAAAGGCAATGGTGATCTTTGATGTATAAAAATTTAATTTATTTTACTTCGATTACTTGTGGTAATTTAACTTGCATTGGGCTAAAGTTTGCTACCATACAAATTATGATAGAAAAAAATTAACGAAATATTTATGGAAACAAAGATAGGTCCTATTTAATTTTTTTATTAAAATAACAATGTTCTAAATTACTTAAGAACATTAAAAGGAAAGCTATCTTCATTATATACAAATAACAGGGGATTCCTATCTGGTAATTGAAGCAGACCCTGAAAGGATTAGTATTCAAAAGTAATATGTTGTACCTAGTGACATTTTTTTAATTCAAGATTCATACTTGTTTCACCCTAGTACTAGTTATACCTGTGAAGTTTGGAGGTAAGTTGCTCAGAAACAAAATAATAAATAAAGGTGTCTAGAGTATATCAAATGTTTTAGGAAGGTGTGTTACTTTTAATTCATTTGAAAGATTGTAAATTGTAGAAACATTTAAGGATACCAAATTATAAGTTGGGTTTAAGTGTAGCTTATTCTGTATATTATAGTTTATTTTTGGAAATTAGACCTCAGCAATAGAATGAATTTCTGCGACTACTTAAAAAAATCTTTATTAAAAAAATTCTCATTCTGTTTTCTGAAATGCAGTATAACCAAAGGAAATTGTTATTAGTTGAGGTTAGGTAAATTTAAAAGGTGTAGTTTGATGCAACTCATATTACATGAGTAGCCATATAAAGATATAGAATCAATATATTAGGTTTTGTTGTGTAACAATTTCAGAATCTTAGTGGCCTACAACAACAAACTTGCAAAAATGAATGTAATCATGTTCACAGGTCTGCAGTTTGGCTGTCGTTTGGTGGGCAGGGCTTGGCTGGGTGTGATTTGCCTGGGCCTGGACACCAGGTCTTTGGTCAGTTTCAGGTCAGCTCCACATGCTTCCATTTTACGACCTGGGCTGAAAGGATTGCATTACCTGGAGATGCTCTTCAGGTGGTGGGTTATAGAAACACAAAAGGGCAAGTGTTAACACTTGGGAACTGGCACACCATTATTTCTGTCCAAACATTAATGGGATGGTGAAGAATTATTATTCCATTGACCAAACATTAATGGGATGGTGAAGAATGCTCTGCAACCCCCTCCCCACCCCCCACAATCCAGTGGTAAGCACTGCAGAATGTGGATGTATAATTGCAATAGTGAGGGATGAAAAATTTGGAATGATGACTTCATCTACCACAGTCAGTTTCAAAACAGGTACAGTGTGAAATAAGAAAACCTACTTATTTGAAAAAATCGTATTATAGGGATATGGAGTTTTAAAATATTAGCATCAACATAATTTTAGTCACATTCATATATTTTTAGGCAGAGGGTATGAGTTAATGAATAAGCACTTAGCATAAATTCTAAACAAAAGGCAATAAGTAAATATGCCCTTTTATTCAGCAAACTTCCTGAAGCATCTGCTTACCAAAACTTTCTGGGAGAATATAAATTTGGTTATTCAAGTGCTGCCATCAAGAAATAGAATATAAATGAAATCTGTTAAAAGCTTTCATAGTGGAGTTTTATGACTATTCTTGCGGTAACATAGAATAAGTAGAACATTTTTACCAAAGTATTTTGACATTTAATATGTTGACTTTAGCAGCAAAAGATAATATGAGTAACCATAGGATTTATTTGTTTTTTATTTATTTATTTTTGAGACAGGGTCTTGCTCTGTTGCCAGGCTGGAGTGCAGTGGCGCGATCTTGGCTCACTGCAATCTCCGCCTTCCGGGTTCAAATGATTCTCCTGCCTCAGCCTCCCTAGTAGGTGGGACTACAGGCAAATGCCATCATGCCCTGCTAATTTTTGTATTTTTAGTAGACACGGGGTTTCACCATGTTGGCCAAGATGGTCTCAATCTTTTGACCTCGTGATCTGCCCACCTCAGCCTTCCAAAGTACTGGTATTGTAGGCATGAGCCACCATGCCTGGCCAGGATTTATTTTTTAGATGCTAATTTATGTGAATTAAAACAACAAAACAAACAAACAAACAAAAAAAAAACAGAACAAGTTAGAGCATACCCACAGATAGGCTTCAGGATTTTAAATTTTATGTAAACTTCTGGCAAACATATGTAACACTTTACTTTTTTTTTTTTTTTTTTTTTTTTTGAGACGGAGTTTCGCTCTTGTTACCCAGGCTGGAGAGCAATGGCGCGATCTCGGCTCACCGCAACCTCCGCCTCCTGGGTTCAGGCAATTCTCCTGCCTGAGCCTCCTGAGTAGCTGGGATTACAGGCACGCGCCACCATGCCCAGCTAATTTTTTGTATTTTTAGTAGAGATGGGGTTTCACCATGTTGGCCAGGATGGTCTCAATCTCTTGACCTCAGTGATCCACCCGCCTCGGCCTCCCAAAGAACACTTTACTTTTAAAAAATTAGTGTATTCCCTTAGATTCTTTTATTTAAAAATTAAGTGAAAAAAATGTCAGTATTTACTTGAAGATTTTAGCACCTATTATGGCAACTATGAATGTTTATACCCAAGGCTTTGGGAAAAGGTTGTGGAAAATTTATAAAGGCAGATGTCCCCTCTCTCTTTTTAAAAACATATCTGATTGTAAGCATTTCTTTCAAACACCCTTTTCAAGTTCCACATTCATTAATTTCTTCCCTTTAATATGAGGTCTCTGTGTGTATATATATGTATGTGGATATGATTGTATATGTATGTGTGTGTGTATATGAGAGTGAGCAAGTGACTAGTCACTTATTATATTGGCCTTTGTTAGAAAACCACTGAATAGCAATTTGTTTATATTTTATCTTTTAAAATTTGATTCTCCATGTCTCCTTAAGATTGTCAAAAACTGAAAATTGGTCTTTAGGTCCACAAACATAGACTTGATTTGTTAAGTGGATATTTTCTATGAGCCGTCTTGACATGCTTTTTGTGCATATGTTAGAAGAAGCAATAAGAAAAGCAGGTATGTTTTGACATGATCTTTTTGTGAACAGTGCTTGCTCAGAAAATTTCCAGAGCAGGAACGTGTAGATTCTTGTTAAGTACTAATAAATGAAGCTCTAAAGGCTCTATAAAACTAGTGAATAGTCTGCCAATTACCAGTGTCTTTGTTTTCTAACTTAAAGAAATACTTCTTGTTGTTAACTTCATCCCTTTAGAAATATGTTTATGTGACAAGAAAATTAGCTTTATTTTTGTTTTTTCTCATCTGTTTTATTTATTTCTTTCTTTAACTTCACTAGTTGATTGCTTAAAAACTTAAACAGTCTGGCTGGCACCAATCAGAACAAAAGGAACATTTCTACTGACTACTTCATTTTTTCATAAAAGGAAAAATCTTCCTTTTTAGACTCCAGAGCATTTTAGTAACGAGAGGTTATAATTTTTAACTGGAACACCTACAAATCATTTCTTGAATTTTGATTTATATCTCACTAGATCACATCTAATTTCCCCTCTGTCTGGGACTATTCTGGTGATAACAGTATCACTCAAAAACCAGAACCTATTGGCATGATATGGGCCACATGGGTAAGGTTTTTATATAATTGTATTCACTCTCTTTTCTAAATACATATTTAGGATCTTCCCAAGTCGTAACATTTTTATTTTTAACATCCCCATCTGTGTTACTAGAGATGATAGCTATCATCTCCTGGCTGGACTAATGTAGTAGGCTCCACTTGGCTTTCCTGCTTTCACCCCTGCCTTCCACATAGTAACCCAGGAGGTTACAAAGATGCTTCTTTGTAACATATAAATTAAGTAATGTTACTTCCCATCTCTCTTTGAAGGAAATTTTAACTCTTCTTTTACTACTTTGTTACATTTCAGTAACAAGATTGCAGTGATGTAGCTTTTTAGCTGTTCTCAAGCCCATGCCTTTCTCATGGTCTTTATCACCGCCCTTCTTTTTGTCTGGAATGTTCTTCCCTGGTGTCTGTTCATCACTGGTCCCTCTTTATTCAGGCCTTTGCTCAGATTTCAACTATTTAAAGAGGCATTTTCCTGAAAAGGTGATACTTGTTGGGTAACAAATTACTCCAAAAGCCTAGCTCCTTCAATCAACAAACATATAAACATTTCATATTTCACAGTTTCCTGAGAGTCATGAATCCAGAGGCAGCCTAGCTTGATGGTTCTAGTCCTGGGTTTCTCAGGAAGTTGTAATCAAGCTGCAGTCTCCAGGGAGGATCCACTTCCAAGGTCATTCACCTGGCTATTCTTCACTATTGGCCAGATACCTGTTTCTCCTCATGTGCACCTCCCCCCCCGCATTGCCTGCATGTCCTCAAACATGGCAGCTGGCTTCCCACAGAGTGAGGGAACCCAGAGAAGAGGAGCCCAACATGAAAGCCACACACTTTTTATACCCTCATCTTGGCAGTGACATAATACCACTTGGGACATATGCTATTAATCACTCAGCCCCCACTATGGTACAGTGTAGGAGGGGAGTACACAGGATGTGGGTACCAGGTGCTAGATATCATTGGGGATGATCTGAAAAGTTAGCTGCTATGGTAGCCCTGCCATCCCTGGAGATCTCACAGCTGCTTTTAAGAAGCCTTTGCCTTCTATGTTTTCACCTTTGAACAATCTATAGAAGCTATACTTCTTCCTTTGTGTAAAAGAGAATACTGCATATAAGCAGAAAAATGATAATCTTCCACCCAAGTACTATCTATCCCATTATCCTACGTTATTTTCTTATTTGCACTTGTTAGCTGAAAACTCATTTTGTATTTCCTTGTTTATTATATATCTTATTTGTCTGTCTTCCTCCATGAGATTATAAGGACCTTTAATACAAAAACTGGTATTTCATGTCCATGCCTGCTATTCTAATCCTTGAACTTAAAGCAATGCCTGAAATATAGTAGGTAATCAATTATTTGATAAATGGATAAAATAGTTGGCCTTTTCAAGCCCCAGAAGTTTTATTTTAGACGTTTTATATGGTTGTGTTTCCACATGCATTCCTATATTCTAAATGAGCTTACCAAACATAAATTTTATTAGCTTAACTCATAATGACTGCTTTGCCTTATTTAGAAGGCACTATGCTAGATAATCTGAAGTTACCAACACAAAGGCCTGGTCCCTACCTTTAAGGAGTCCTATTGATAAAGAGTGGCAGACTATGGTATGCATCACATGAGAACAAGTAAAATTGCAAGGCTGGAAAAGTGTGGAACTTGGAGAAAGCTACACAGTAGAATGCCTTCTTGATGTTTTAGGGTTAGTACAGTTATTATTTTGCCCTGGAATACTATGTTCCTTTTAACATCCTCAGAATGTAAGAAGGAAGGCAACCATATTTTTTTAACAACAACAAAAAAATTAGGAAGCCTGGTCTACATTAGTATTATAGAAATGGTGAGTTATTTAATTATATATTTTTAACAACCACCTTGCTGAAACGATTAAAAATACGTGAAGCTGTGTTTCATTATATATGGTCATCATATATAGAACAATCTGCTCATACGTTTAGTAGCTCTAGATCAGTGTGTCTTTAGAAGTAGTTCTTTGAGCAGTGATTGTTTTTATAGTATTCTTTGCTATATAGTTAGCTTCTTACTGTAGTCTTTCTGTCTTCCTCTCCTTAAAGTTGCTTCATCTAATTTTGCTGTGGACTTGAAAGCCAAATAACCAACATGGATAACATTATATATAGTAATATATAAGACACCCTCTCCAAAAAGTTTTCTTTCAATTAATTTTTAGGAAGGTTTTATTTTTAGCTAGCTATTAATGGCCCATTTTTACATTTGTCTGGTATTCTCCTATGCTTTAACAACTTTTCTTAACAGTGTTATTTTACTTAAGTTTTCTGTTGAACTTTTTGCCTCTCTTCAACATATTGTAGTTGGCTTTGGAGTCAGAATGCCTCATAGCTCTGCCAAGTTTTAGTTTTATGTCCTCAGGCAAATTGTTGGATCTTTCAGAACCTTTTTTTTTTTTTAATCACATCTTCCTTACAAAGTTGGTATACAAAGTAAATGAATATGTTAAAGGCTAGGATGTCATTTGGCTGACTGTTTCCTACCCCAGTCATTCTCCACCAGGTTGAATTGGCTTCCCACTCCATCAATGAGTGCCTAGCAACAAATGCCTTGGTAAGCAGCATCTGTAATGGATACCAGTTTCACAGAAATGTCTCGGTATATCTCCTGAAATGTAGGACTGGCCCAAGACCACTCCTGCAGGCACTTTTGTTTTCTAAGATCATCAGTGCAATTTGGGGCATGATCCAAATTGAGTTTCACCACAGGGTGATACCAGAATTTGGCCCTATGGAAAATCCAGAGTCCAAGACTGGCCATAAAATTAAACGTTTTCTCTAGGTATCCTCCAGAGATTGGACACCCAGAAGCAGGATTAACTGCTATGTTGTATTTCACTCCCTGCCTGGAGTTTACAAGGGAACTCAGCATCAGGCATTTCAGCCTTTGAAAAGAGTAAGGTGATAGGTGATAGGAGTTTCATAGGGGGATGTATCAATTACTGTAGATACTTAAAGTTCACAAAACATTCAGAGTAAGGAATTTTTTAATTAAAGTTAAGTTCTACAGCATCCATTAATTACTTGCGTTTTTCTACTCCCTCACATATTTTCTCAAGTTACTCACCCTTGTGACTCATTCAGTAGCAAAATTAGTGAAGTCGACATTCTCTTTTAGTCATCAAGCAAAAATGGGTCATCTCCCTGGCCCACTAGATTGTCTTGTCTGCCCCAGAAAATCTCTTTTCAGTATGGACCTCTTTCTGTTGCCATGTTGCCTTGCTTTTCCTGGAGGTAGAGGGCGCCGGGGGAAGTATAAGAGAGCTTCCACTTACTGTCAAGTAGAGCTTGCCACGATGGCCGGCTTCTTCACTCCAGGTTGCTCTCTTCTGGATGTTTTGTTTATTGTATTCATTCATCATCCCTGTCTTGAGAGCAGTGCCGAGATTCTGCCATTTTCTTCTTTTAAATTCGGCTGAAATTCATTGAGTATTATGTGCCATGCACTGCATTAGGCCCTTATATTTAACATTATGGATTAAAAAAAAATGAGGCTAAGAAAAGTTTTATGTCCAAAATTACAAAGGTAGTAAAAGGTAGAAGGAATTTGAATGCAAATCTGTTGACTCAAAAATCAGTTTTCTCTCTACTTTAGCACAACCCGCTTTTCCTCCATGCATGCCAACAGGTTAGAGTCACTGATGATCACTGGAAGCCTTCATTAGGTCATGCTTGAGCCTGTGCCACTGGTAGGCTCCCTCCCAGGCTCAGGTGACTACTGTAATCAATGTGCCCCAGGTGCTTTTCTCTGGGTCTAGTTTGACTCTGAATTTCCAGCCCCTGGCTTGTAGAATGGAAGAAAAAGCTATCAACTTTGACTTAAAAAGGACTGATCTTAGGATAGATTTAGCAATTTAGAGTAGAAAACCCCCACTAATAAAGAAGAATTAACTTACTATTACATGTATAGAAGTTGAGGAACTCATCTCTGACTTGCTTTTCAAGATATGGATTTGATCTTTAATCAGAAAGTCATTACATTGAATGAATAAGTTTTTTCTTTCAACCTAAAAAGTAACAAGCCTCTTCTAGAAAACTCACAGAATTTAATATTTCTTTCTTTTTTGTTTGAACTTCTCCCCTCTTCCCTCTGCCTCGAGATGGAGTCTTGCTCACTCGCCCAGACTGGAGTGCAGTGGCACGATCTCAGCCCACTGCAACCTCTGCCTTCTGGATTCATACAATTCTCCTGCCTCAGCCTCCTGAGTAGCTGGGATTACAGGCGTCCGCCACCAGGCCCAGCTAACTTTTTGTATTTTTAGTAGAGATGGGGTTTCACCATATTGGCCAGGCTTGTCTTGAACTCCTGACCTCATGATCCATCTGCCTCGGCCTCCCGAAGTGCTAGGATTATAGGCATGAGCCACCATGCCTGGCCTTTTGAACTTCTTTAATAACCTTAATAAAAACTAAGGTAGTTTCCATGGGTTGGAAACATTGACAATTATTGATTAATTGTATTATTGGAAGAGAACAGTGAAAACAATTCATTTGGGTTTTATAATGTATCGTTTTACTTTACCTTTGAGTCTGTGTTTGAGAAGATAGAGGATTACTTTAGAGACTTTAGTGATGTCACAGTGTGAACACCAGCTCAGGAAGATGAAGAAGCTGTGTATTTTTCCAATTTGGAATGGTGTAGGCCTAAGTTCAGATCTATAAAATTTGGATTTATAGTTAAATACCTGGATGACCTTTGGTAAGTTACCTAGCTACTTAGCCTTTGCCATTGCCTAGTAAAATAAGGATTATGTTTCCTGGAGTTATGTGTGTAATGATAAGTTGCAACTTCTAGGAGAACAAGTTAAAGTGTTTACCCTACTGATGGTGAATTAGTAACACCATCTTTGTATACAAAGACTTCATAGTTGAAAATTAACTATATTAATGATTTTATGTAACACCAAGAAAATAAAAATAGAGGTGACATAAATCACTAATGATGCCCTGTTAAGATTTCCTT